ATAGTTTCCTCTTGAAATCGTGCGGCGTTCAACGTGGTAACGCAGTTGCAAATACGTATCCTAATCGTCCGCTCTCGAACCTCTAATTTCAAAGTTCTAAATGAAACATATAACAATATTTTTAACAACGGAACAAGCTACGGTAAATGTCAGTGAATCTAGTGTCGATACCTCGATTAAATTCCCGTTTCAAGAAGTCGCGTGATTTGTCGGGTCACGGTGACGATAACGAGAACTTCCCACCTAAACAAAACAAAAAAAGAAAGAAAAAAATGAAAAAAAAATAACAAAACGAAAAAACGAAGAAGAGGAACGAGTCGGAAAAGAGGAAGCCGCGGAGAACAGAGCCGAACGCGTGCGCGTAATGCGCGTCGTCCCAAGCTAGGACTACTCCCCGAAAATTATAGCAAAATGTGCCTCCGGAAGCTCGCTGTGGCGAGTGGAAGAAAAGACAATTACGAGGACGGTGTTATTCCACCTCGAACGACACCGTGAACGGCGAGGAAAACTTATTTATTTAACGGAAGCGATCGTGTGTACCCTAGAAGGAAAAGAGATAAGGAGATTAAACGAGCGGGTGTATGTGTGTGTATGTGTATGTGTATGTGTATGTGTATGTGTACGTGTGAATGTTACGTATACATGCGAGCATGTATCTGGAGAGAGAAAGAAAAAAAGTGGGAAGAAAAAGCGAGCGGTACCCGTCGATTTTACAGAGTACTCGAAACGATTCTGTTCACGAGCATATATCGACAATGCTATTCTTATACATTGATTTTTAGTCCTGAATCTTTATAAAAATATTATATATAAAAATCTATTATATATATACACACACATACACACGCATATATATATGTATGAATATGTATGTATATTATTATATAAGTAATATATATATAAATATATATATATAATATATATAATATATATATATATTATTTAAATATATATATATATATATATATATATATATATATATATATATATATATACGTATGTACTTGTACACGAACACAACACACGAGAGAGAAACATAATTGTGTACGTTACGAAGAAAAACAAACAAAGTAGTACGTTAGAGGTTAGGGTCGAAGAGGTCGTCGAGTATTATAAGTGTTTCCCGCAGATTCACTTTTGCGTGCGAGAGAAGAGAAAAAGAAATACTGTTACCGGACCGAAACGAATGGAATCAGTGGGTTCAAGGTCACCGGGAATGTTCTCTCTCTATTCCGTTGCTGGTCGAATCGCGAACGGATTTCATGATGGCGAACCGATACTACTACTACTAGCTACTTCAACTATTTACGTGAATCTGCCTCGAAGCGAATTCAAGCCAACTATACTCGACAAACGTCCAGCCGTATCTAATGATCACATTGAACTCTATACAAAGTGTATTCGATCGTAACCTTCGTAGTGTAACGGTAGTGGAAGCCCATGATGCCTTGTGAAGGGAGTGACCTTGAACGGCAGATTGTATTCGCATCCGACTATACCTTCCGATCGAACGAACCATACGGAGAATGATTCGATGATTGTTGTTGAACAGTGGAGAAAGAGAGAAAAGGGTTGAAAACAGTTGACCCTTTGCACTCTAGAGGTGACCGTCAGTCGTCGTTTGAACGGATGCAGGAAAATGATGAAATGATAAGTTCAATATAGAATGCTGAATAAAATATTGACACGTTGAGTGCCATGGGGGTATCCGGTGACCCCCAATCAAATCGAATTACTATAGTTCACTTGATTAAACCATGATTATTTGAAAACATTTCTATATTACAAATAATGCTACATAATGGCGCCGACGTTCAGCTAAATGAACATTCAATAAAATTATTTAATATTAGATTTTTCCCATTTTCTGTATTTTGCTCTATAAAATCGCGGCGTTCAATCAAATCGAATTACTACAGTTCATTCAATTAAACGATGATTATTTGAAAACATTTCTATATTATAAATAATGCTAATGTGGTGACATTCAGCTAGATGAACAGGCAGTAATAACAATGCAATTCAATCAAATGATTTAATATCATATTCTTCCATTTCAATATTTTGTACCATGAAATCGTGCGGCATTCAACGTGTTAATGTTACAGGAAATTTCACTAATCCGGCAATTGTACATAACCCCCTGGGAATTAAGCATAATCACCAATAACATTGGAGAATGATTATTCGTAATCACCGGGGGATTATGGGTAACCGCTTTATAATATTGCTCGGAACATTAACGCACGAAACGGAAATAAAACGAGTCTGTTTCATAATCGATGAAAGATGTTTCTTTATGGGAGTTGCAAATGATATTAACATTTCGTCGGAAAATAATGAATGTTTGTAATGAGAAATATCGTCGAGTGCAAAGGGTCAAGCTATTGCGAAGGGAAGTTCGAGAGTGTTGAGAGGAATTAGAAGTCGTGGCGAGATTTATTTTCGTAGGAGCTTTTTAACGCTGTTTCTACCGAAGGTGTCAATCCTTTTGAAATGTTAATTTAAAATTATTCTCTCGTTTTCCCCCAATTGAACTTCCGACGTTTCCTATAGTTAATTTATAACCATTGGGAAACTGGAGAAGATTCAGAATATACTACACTTGGAACAAAATTGTAAGTTAAAAATTCAAAAGGTGTTGACACCTTCGGCAGAGATAGCGTTAACACGTTCGCGGACAGTAAGAACTAATGCGCTAAAGAATGCAAATTCAGTTCCCGGAAAATGCGTGAGAATTTAAAAAAATTAAGGCTATGTAGAATTGAATGCGTAATGATGGCTTATAAATTTGAATGTTATAGCATCCGAGTCATTTGGCGTCACAATGAAGGTGAATGCTATAGCATTCACGTCCGCGACGTGTTAACGCGACGCTTCAACCCCTCGGCGCGCGCAGAGCACCCCGAAACGCCCACAACCACGCCCACTCTAGTCCAAAATTCCTGTCCCGTGAAAGCGAGTAACGATATGTCAGTGACACACCTGTCGATTCGCGCGCGAGGAGTTGAAGCTGTGCCACTGTTAACACGTTGAGTGCCGAGAGAAATATAGGAAATGAGAATAACGTGATATCAACTGATACGATTGAATTACGTTGTTATTATTGCAGGTTTATCTCGTTGAACGTCACTGCATTCGGTGGTATTGCTTGTAACATAGAAAAGTTTTCAAATGATCATCGTTTAATCGAACGAACTACAGTAATTCGATTTGGTTCAGGTCACTGGTGACCCCCATGGCATTCAACGTGTTAAAGAAGTTGCTTCTTTCAAGCTTGAATGATTGGTTGCTCGGTGGTTCGCGGATTTATTCTGACCCGTGAAAATGATTCTAAGAAAGTCAATCGAAGATGCGAGTATTTTCACGTGCAACGCCCCGTTCATCGAAAATCCGTTTCACTGGTAGATAGGCGTGGCTTGGGAGCACGGACTCCGCCCCTTCTCTTCAATCTCGGTTATTTCTTGAACGGTGCGTTGTACGAGGGAAATTCTTTCGACGTTCTCGTGTTATCTTGTGCAGCGTCGTTGGATGTTTCATATTGTTTAGTTCTGTTTGGTTAATAGCGCGATGTCGACGAAAAAGGGGCGTGTCGTTGTGAACTCGTCGCACGGTGGGCGGTGCGTTTTTCTATCGACGATTGTTTTCGTGCGCGCCGATAAGTCCGCGGGTTGCCGTTAAATTAGCGTTTAAGGATGGAAGGAACGGTGTGGCGAGTGGAAATTGAGAATGCAAAGACGTTCGAGATGGAAATGGCGAAGACTGAAATGGTTGTACACCGACTCAGGGAACAGAGAGACGCGACCGAGGAAATTCTCTAACGAACACGAGGATGGGCGTTCCACGGAATGACGCGTGCTTCTACCAAA